ACAGTTCATGAAAAAGTTCACGTGACAATATTGGCCTCCACATTTTTGAACAGCATTTTTGACGCTATCGACATGATAGGCGGCCGTTCAAAGTTCCATGGTTTGTAAAAAGCCTTCCCTGATTAAAGAACGGTCATGAACAACGAGTTCATGACTCTATCAGTAATGTCCATTTACGTATTTCGTTGCAACCCAGAGACTAAAAGAAATGGGAGTTCAGTAAATCAAAAGAAGGAAAGAAGAAAGGACATCCAAAGAACGCCGAACAGTTCTCTACGTGGTAAGTGGAGCCAAACGGTTTTTTAGGTGATACAACAAATTCCAGAATCTCACACGAATCCTGGGTTACAAACAGAAATTGTCGCCTCAGGTGGGGAAAGCTGAGGTGGGTAAAATGGTGCCGCCGGTAAAGCGCACTTGCCCGGAAAGCGAGAGGTGCGGGTTCTAGTCCCGCCTGGGGCGAAAGTTTTGTTCACAACCCAGCATTCTTGTGAAACATTCGCAAGGCGAACTGCGGCCAAAAACAGCAGTTAACAAACAAAAAATCTAGGATATTCTCCAGAAAGCTAAAATTGCTTAATCTTGAAGTGTTGTGCCTCAAAAGTCTCAACAATGATTCACCTGTTGCTACCGTCGAGGCACTCATTCTGCTCGGCAACGCATAGTCTCCCAGGTCTGGAGATCGTGTCCGGGGATCGATCAATGAATCCAGCAGGACAAGCGCAGAGGAAGCCGTCGTCGGTGTCGATGCAACGAGCAGAACGATCGCAGTCATGCGTTCCCAACTCACATTCATTAGTCACTGAAAAGAAAAGGCTTCATCGAGAACACACCACACCTCGCTGGTGCCACTCACAGCAAATTCCCGTGACGGGATGCCTCCTCTGTTTGCTGTCGCATTGGCAGGTGTAGAACGACCCGTGAGGAAGACACTTTTCTTTCTTTCGGATGTCGCAAGAATTCGGTACATTCGGGAGACAAGAACCTGAAATCGTAGAAGTTCGGCGAATGAAGGGACATGTTTTACATTCGGATACTTACCTGGATAGCTGCACTTCCCATCGGCGTGGCTACGTTCGAACCCAGTCTTGCACTCGCAATACCAGTGCCCAGTTCGGTCACTGGCGCAGTACTCGTTCTGACCACATCGTTGACCACCGTTGTGACAATCGGCGTCGTGCTGTGGGAAGACGTGAACCTCTTTCACTGACACTGAAACATTTGGAACTTCAGTCGGAAATTCTTCAGAAAATAGGGAAGGTACTACCACAGAATCCAGTTCTGTAGTCTCTAGAGTAGCCATCTGGGCAGGCGCAACGGTAGTTGTTATAGGGGGTGATCAGACACTCCTCTGGATAGACACATGACGTGATAAGTTGTGGATTGCACAGCGATCCTCCACATACACGAGTGGTCGGATGACGATGGAATCCGGCTGGGCAGATGCAGTGGGTCCTGCAAAGAGCGCCAGTTGTTATAGTAAGAATTATAAGCTTTCTATTTGTGCACATTTCCGCCATCAAGCAGGTGCTCTTAACTCAGTGAGACGCCCGAAAACAGTGATAGTGCCTTTGACTACGAAAGTGGTGCACATGTCACGGAAGCCAGTGATACTGCAGACGTGGAGACTCACCGTCCGTTTTCCTCAGCGCAGTATTCGTTGAGCGACCGATCGCACCCGGTCTGCGTCCGGGGATTGCACGTGCCTTGAGGTGGAGATTCGGTTTTCACTGGAGTAGGACATGCCGCTTTTTGAATCATCGAACGTAGGCGTGTGTCCAAGTCCTAAAGCAGGTAAACTAAGTAAGGGAACGGCAGCTATCTCAGCTTTGAAATATTTGGGATTCATCGCTTCATTGTAATAATCTCAGTAGGTTTTGTGACACAAACCTAGCAACGCGTTCGCGAATTGCAAACAGCATGCAGATAATCAAACGGCCAGTTCACCGCTTTTTATGGATTTCTTAGCTCACTATTCGGCCTAAGTACAGCTTATTTCGGCGCACAGTCGTGCCTCCATCAACTAGCCGACTTGCCGCGACGTGACGCTTGCGGCCTATTCTTGTTAGATCTGTTCTGTACTAGCTTCTCCAGGAAAGCAGCTCTCTTATATTTGAGCAGAATATCAGGTTTAAGTGAGAAATTCCAGGCAATAAATGCCCATAATTATTACCTGAATTTTGTCGACGTCCGTAGAACACCGCCGCTCAGGTGGGACCGAGCAATGGCCTCAAGTTCATGGGCAAACACGTGAGGTCGGTGACTCCGAGTTGAGAACGGTTGGTAATGCTCAGCTTGCGAGTGATTTCAGCAGGCCCATGTCAACATTGTCTTTAGAGAACGGCAGTCGGTGAGAACGATCGAACGCTACAACAGTGAAGGCGATAAATTGCTGTGGAGCAAGGGAGAGTAAGTGGAGCTAACCTGGCGATGTCGGGAGCTTGAGGTCGCGCTCCTCGTCGTTCACTGAAACCTTCTTGAACCATGTGCTGAATAGCGGCACCGGTTCGAGTTAGTCCCGTGAGATACTGTGTTTCAGTGATTGCTCGAAGAACGGCGGCCTGAAAACGAGAAGCATGAGATGGTTAGCAGAAGATGGTTAGCAAGATCTCAGCAGCGAAGAGGTGCTTTTCAGAAAAAGTTCCAGGAACTCAAAATGATTAGGTTGCCTCACCTTGTCAGTGTACTGGTCCAAGTCGAATTCATGGCGGATTTGATCCGAGTATTGAATAAGGGCGACTCTAGTCTGATCCAGCCCAATTTCGAAGAGTTCAACGAATTCTCTCACGAATCGCAGCACCTATAAAAAGACGGTTTGTGATATGCAGAAGGAGGGGCAAAGGTTAGCACGTCCCAAGTATTTACCTCATTTTTGAACACATAGGAACCGATTGATCCTGAGCCATCGATCAGGAAGACCAAGTCGGTCTTCTGTTTTGGACAAGTTGTTTGTACCGTGCACACCCGGCCAGGCGGCAGATTCGCGTTGGACGAGACATCAATGAAACCGGCGAAGCACTGCAAAACGGGGCATTTGACTTGGCTTGTAAGCGTATTTCAATGTAAAGTCTCTTAGAATGTTAAGTAAGGCAACAGAGCCCAGCTCAGGAGCTTGTCCTACATTGCTTATATAAATCTTATGCAAAGGTGAACTGCAGTGGCTGAAGTCCTGGAATGGACTACTTAATTGGTGAGGGCAACGGATGAAGCGCCCACGTAAAACAAGAGGCTCACAACTTGTGTAGGATTAATGGTGTTATAGGTGTTCAGCTCAGGCTTCGATATTATAAAAACTTAGCACTTGGTTTCTCACAGTCGACTGACTGGCGCAATAACTACCTGGGAGGGTAAAATATCTCGATTGGAAAGCACATTGAAATCCCTCAGAAATTGATGGCTTTCGTATTTAAAATTACCTAAGCTGAAGCACAACCCAAGCCTTATTGGCGTTTCTTGCTGGCCGCATAACCGGTATACTGAATGTTGGGAGTTTAGAGCAGAGGTCCCGGCGACTGGTCGACAGAATACTTCAAAACCTCCGTCCTTAAAGGCTGCCCAATTTTGCATGCTCAACCTTCACGGACAAGCCCGGCAAAGCAGAGGACGGACGACGTTGCGAGAAAGGCGCAAGGAGTCCGCCCCTTTCTCAAGCATCAGTTCTGGGGTAAGGGCAAACGCGGCCCTTTTGGCCGGACTGCTGGGAACTAGCCGCACCACGTTGGGGCATCAAACTCTCTACGTAACAAAGCCGAGTGAAAGTGCCGGTCCGTCGAACCCGGCTGACCCCCCCCCCACCCTCCCCAAACATTCAGGGCATTTTACGATACGCGGCCAGCAAAACACCAAAAGGGCTGGATGCTTACCGTTTCCAACTAAATCCCTTCTCTACCTCCTTCTCTCATGGATCGCATGATTTGTCTTTTCACTTGTTTCAGACCCGATAAGTTACTTGACACAACTTTCACAACTCCGCTTCAACCTATCGAAGCTTCGAAAGTGGCAGCCAATTCGAACGTGAGGAGTGCAATTGCACATGAATGAGATCCTGCGGGTAGAGGGTTGAAACATTTTGATTTGTTTTCACTCGACAAAACACAAACGTGAATAAAACATTGTCAAAATTCGCTTATGAAACGCCATTCCTCAGATGGCCGCATTCATTGTAGGACTCGCAGAAGATAGCGATCCATGTGAATACGCGCCTCTTGGGGCCTTCATAGCGAGACTTATGAGAGCGGGCTGATCTTACAGAGTCCACAAGTTCTAACACTAGAAAACTCTTTAGAGAGTGCTAGAACGCTTTATTTTTTATATGCGCTTACCTATTTTGGTGAATATTTACTTATTGGCGAGAAAATTTTGGATGATGTTCAACGGCGGACTCCGAATTTAGGAGGTCGTTATTCATGCTACAAATGATAGCTGCGAGCTTTAAGGACAACCCCAGGAGGCTCGTGTGGCGCGGCAGAAGCAAGTCAAAGGCCGAGAGGAAGCTTTCGCGCGCGTACTATAGGGATCTGGCGTCAAGTTTAAAATGGAGTGCCCTACTGCGCGTCCTTGCATCGCACACCACGCGCTGCAACTCGTCCGCCGACTCTGCCTTCTTGCCGCGCGACGGGCCTCCTGGAGGGTACCCCCGAGTTTAATTTGGGTACTAACCGATCCTGCCGAAAGTGGAACCAAACAAAACAACTTTGAAAGTATTTTATTCAAATCGTAATAAAGCTTAAACCTGGCAGGTGTAGCCATCCTGAGTATCAACACAGTCCGCGTTGTCGTCACAAAGTGTTCAGATGCTTGAAGGCACACTCGTTATTCGCTGAAATGGAGAAAAGGTTTCGGAATAAGAACCGGTAGGAAGTACTCAGGTAACTGCAATTTTTTTTTGTATAAATTCTCCTCACACTTTTTGAACTATATAGTAAGATCTTTTGGCTCAATCAATCTTTGTGAATATTTACGGAATAACGGTCATAAACATCAAAGCGTCAACACGTCAATACTTACACTGTGAGCATCTTCGACCAGGAGGAAGCTTGTGCTTTGAGGAGATGTCCACATAGCCCTCGAGACACTGGCACGCGTAGCCCTCGGTGAGGTCGATGCACTTGGCGTACGGTGAGCACTCGTTGTTCGTCGTGGCACATTCGTTCACCACTGCAACACAAACATTGCCCAAGGATAATCGTAAATCAGTAGCTCGGACACCCACGTTCTTTGCAACGTCTTCCCGGTCGTCGCTCCGGATCCGGTGACATATCGATGTAGCCAGGTCGACATTGACAACTGTACGAGTCGAAGACGTTCAGGCAGACGGCGTTCGGATCGCAGTCCGTGTTCCGTGAGCAAGCCGAGTACACTGAAATTTAACATTCGATCAGCAACTTTAGGTAAACAAAAACGAAGCATCACAGTTCGTTGCCTAGCGGCACGCATGATCACCGGCTTGGGTAGCAATGTGGATGGCCAAAATAAGCGACACCCTTGATTTTCAACACCAAATTTATCACACTTCAAATTTTTTATATTTCCACTTGCAAAATCAACTAGACACGAGCCTTCTGCACGAACGGGATCGGAAAAATCTGCAACGTAGACGCGATGCGTTGTAGGCCTCCTTACAGGAGGATTCCACCATAAGGTTGGAGGTCGAAGAGGGAGAAAACTATCTGAAAGAACAGGCGGACCTCTGAAGGTGCGGACCGTCCGCAGCGAAGGATATGCCCCTGGCGATCTAGCATGGCCCTCCCGCGGCGCTATCGACGCGGCACGCCCACCGACTGGCTAACCACTCGCCGCAGGTCTCTAGCCGTTTAGCAGAGAGAGAGAGAGAGAGCGTTAGCGTTGAAATGGGTAGCACCGATGAGAGTCGCAACGGGCAAAAGGGGGTCCTTCTTTTCGGGTTTAAGTCTGTCTTCCATAGGTTTTTCTTTATTCCACCACCACTGACCACATCCACCTTGATCCTAATCGCTTTGCAATCGAGTACACCGCCTTTAAGCGCATTTGCGATAGCGGACACCTTCATACACCGCTGATTGCGAAAGAACGAGACAAGCGCTTACTTCTCTCTATCAAGAAACATCTTATTATTATTTTCTCTAGAAACAAGTGTCTGATCTTCCTTCTTGCGCGACGTGTAACCACAGGATCAAGTCCCATGCGAAGCGCCTCCTTTTTTTCGGCCACCCCTGCATGCAACAACCTTCACGGCCTCGGCTCGCCCAAGTGCGAGTGCCGGGGTGGAATTATTGTAGTGGGACTGAAGTACATTTGAGGGCGTAAAAAGGGTGGAGGTGCGCGAAGAAGCACACTTTCGACGCTTGGGCTTTCTCGTCTGCGCAAAAAATGCGAGATTACTGCGGTCCGCAGAATGAACTGATTTGCGGTAGATGCCTCTCCCTGACAGTATACTTCGCGACCTAGCGTTTTCAATGTATGTTTTTATCACTGGGCGATCAAATTTTATGTGACCAAATAAAAGAATTTCCGTCAGTCAGCCACCCGAATCAAACGAGAGCGCGTTGTTGACCTAATTTTTTGTGGCGTTCAAGGTTCGTGCTATTTTCTTAGCGCTAAGCGCTGAAGTAATATTTTCTCTCATACTAGTGAAGTTACAAACTATAGCTTTTTGTTCTAGGTATTGAGTCGCGCGATCGTCTCACAGAAAGACAAGCTTGGTTCGACTCAAGCTTAGCGGGTAGCCTTCAAAACGGCGAAAGAACAATGGATAGAAAGGTAAAGACGATATGCAAAGTTACTGGCCTCACGCCTTTGCCCAACCCAATTCGAGGGCCATGAAGAAGCGCTGAACCTACTGGAAGCCCGTAATGCATTTGACATGGAGTTGCAAGGGTGTTTTCAGGAGTGAAACGAAGAGAAGAGTCAATGTTACTAAGAATGTGGAAACACATTGAATGTGCCAAGATTTCAGTTGTCCATGCCAAAGTTGTAGGGCTTATAACGCATGCCGACCTATGAAATTGGCACACAAGGGAGCGAGCGTATTGGAGTCAGTACTTACTTATGGTAGTGTCATAGTTCAGCCGATTTGGTCTGTGGTTGGTGCACGGCTTTCGGTAGACGGCGCTCTCCGCTGGGACTACTCAGTTCATATCCGTACACAGTTCACCTACTAGGGACGCCCAATTTTAAAATGGGGGAGGATATAATAACAGGCTTCTAAACATCTGCTAACTATCCAGTAATAAGTATTTAGAGCGTGAATAATCAAAGCTAAACCACTAGGCGCGCTTATGAAGAATCCCTCGTCTGAGCGTTTTTGTTTGACCATGAGGCTTATCGTAAGAGACCGCCCAAAGTTCCCGGGCCCGTTTCGCGGTCCTCGAACAACACACAACAGGTCGACAACACATCGCCCTTCACCCACTGACAGCGATTACTTGTCTGAATCACCACCGCCGCGTAGTTGGTCCGTTGTGGTCACTTCCCCACCCATCGCTGATTGAGTACTTGGCTGCGCTAATCAATCAGATACGCACTCCACTGCGAACTGGGCGCTCCCAGTCAGTGGGGCTATCAGCCCATTTGAGTCATCCACCGGCTGTGATCGTGTCGAGGTTTTGGAATGAAACTGCTTATTGAAACATCTTATTAATTTTACAAGAATTCAGAGTTTCAGACAAAAAACTTTTGTCCAGGCAGAAATCAAACCCGCCGAGTTCTGACTGTAGCTAGCGATTTTGTCTATATGAAGGTTTCCTTTGTGATTGAGCAACAACTGGCTTAGCAGGTCCTTGCACAAGCTTTAGGAGACATCAAGTGATCTTTGCGATGCTAGAAAGAAAGCGGATGTGTGGCGCGTTCCGAAAGTATCGAATTCCTCCCTGACTATTCGCTTTTACATGTGATTTTTCCTTCAAACCATCGCCATAGTAAGAAAATCAACACTTTTCTCTTTTGGCCAACGGCTATAGTTGTGTTTGCAGCAATCAGCAATTATAATGCGCCACGTACTTGTTTTCCATGAGAAATTACCGGATTGATTGATTGGATAGACACTCACACAATTTCATAAGAAAATCCTTGAACTTTGTGACTCCAATCAACCAAAGCAGACGAATCGTGACCGCATACCTTCATGATTTGATCCCGTTCCATGTCAAACAATCCCTTCTCGGGTTCAATCCCCCCTAAACTCTAGCTCAATCGAGGCTTCTTACACTTCCGTGGTCAACTAGCAAAAATTGGCAAAAATCCAATCAGCATTTAGAGAACGAAAAGGGGGCAGACAGCTGTTGAATAGTCGTCACCTAGGCCCCATGCACATTTAGTCTCCTTTGATGCTTACGAGTGAAAGCGTAAATAAAGCAAGCTCTGGAGATCGTCTGACTGAATCAGCTGATTTCACTCTTCATTCTAAGTTACTGTAATCTACAGAGTTCCTATCAGATCCTGGCGTACACTTCACAAGTCACTCTTGAACAGCCATCGATTGCACGTCAAAATTATGAGGCATGCTGAAACTAAGGTTCCGATATGCACTACGCATATTTTTAAAAACTCCCATAATAGGAGTTTCTGAAAAAGTCCCCAAAAAAAGGAAATGTGTTAAATATTAATGCGAAATTGCAAATCAACATCCAATTCCATTTCAAAAGTACGGAAATGTTTCCTCGCTGTTTTTGGTAAAAAGTGCACTGTGCCGATTCAGCAAAATCCTCCATCTTAATTTTGTTGGTTGAAATCTATTATGGTTTGAGAAAGCTGTATAGTTGTCGTCAATTTTCCTTTAAGATGATGACAAAAGGAAAGTTTGCTAACGGGAAAATCTCCACGAAAAAGAAGTGAGAGTTTTCGAGCAGCAAAAGGCGCACAGCTTGGGCGGAATTCACTTAGCGGTTGACAATTATTTCGAAGTTCCTGCAGTTTATGGGCTTAAGGTAACCCTGGACATATTTAGTGATTTTTTTTTGATCGAGTCAAGCGCCGCGTTATAAGAGAAGCAGTTAACCAGTTCTGGGATCGCCCTCTCTGGGACAGCGGTCAAAGTGTAACCTGATCTAAATCAGTTGATTCGAGCCCATATCATTTTATAGTGAGGAGATCTCTGAAGCCAAGGATCTGCTGAATATGGTGCACAATTTGAACCTTTCAAG